AGACCCCTGCCAGTGCTGAGATGCCTCTACCACCACTGGATCCACAAGACTTCCCACCTACTGGTCTGTGGTCTTCCTGCATTTGGCATCATCGCATATGGTTTGTGAGTCTGAAGAGGAATTTATAGATTATCAGACACATGCGCTAAAATCAGACTTATGGACTTGATCTGGACTGGGTTGGGCTGTTTCTCAGTATTCAATTGCTCTTGTATATAAAGCTCTTTCTTATACACATAAATGTGTATGAATGTTTCTCTAGTCTACCCAGACTAAGACAGCGACAAAACCAGAATGCTGTTTAGAAGCAAGGATGGTGAGACTTTGGCTCTGTTGCTCTGAACATGTCACTTGGAAAAGGCCGAGAGCTAGGAGGGTCACCCTCAATGAGATGGACTGACAAACTAGTCACAAGAATGGATACTAACCACCAGGAAGATGGGTGCAGGAGATGAGGCTTCATTTGGTGATGCCTACAGTGGCCATGAGTAGCCTACTCAACTAACAGCAGCAGCAGCAGCAGCAGCAGCAGCAGCAGCACAGTGCCACTGCCCCGATCCCAGGCATCACCAAATTCTGCCAGGACTCCTCCTTGAGCTTACTAACTAGTTTCTCTGCTTCCGTCTTTGCCCCAGATGGACTGGACCGTATTCCCACAAAATAGGTGTTGAAATCCTAATCCTTCAGTGGATGTAATTCTACTTAGAAATGTTTTCCTTGTCATGCTAATGAGACCATATCAGCCTAGAGTGTGCCCTAAACCTCCTTCCTCTGAGTGACGTAAGGAACAGCAGACTCTCAGGAGCAGGATGACATGTGCTGTTGAGTTGTGGGCATAGCAAGGTCCCCCTGGGTGGCAACAAGGGTTGACTGTTGAATGGGAATGTCAGTTCTCACAGAGGGGCCCTGGAAGAAAGGCCTGACAATCTACTTCCAAGAATTCGACCATTAACGATTGATGGCGAAGCCCTACTCTGCAGACATGGGGTTGTCAGCAGTCAGAATCCACCTGCAGGCACAAACAACAGTGGAAATTCTAAGAACAGCCTGCCCCCTAGAGTCACACCCTCACCCTGAATGAGGACTCCGGTAGCGGCTGCACTTGGGCTGCTGATCCAAGGTCACTAGCTGGGAAACTCCCAGGCGCTGCCGTAAAGTTAGAGCCATGGAAACCCAGAGGGGCAGTTCTGTTTCATACATCTGTGAGTCGCTGCAAGTCTGAATCAATTCCACTGGTTTGAGTTTCTGAGTCTCTCAAACAGCTAGAAAATAAACTTCTGTTCTTTAAACCTTTCCACTTCGCTCTCTTGCTCCTTCCGGACTGTTCTCTGACCCCATCCAATAGCCAGTATCCTTGTCTTAGGTCAAAGGGTATTCCTTCTTAGAAAGGTGCAGTAAAAGCACAGATTGAGGGGTCCTGGCAGGGTAGTGGGCTACGTGCAGGGTCAGCAGTTCAAACCCACCAGCCTCTCTGTGGGAAGAAGATGGCGCTTTCTACTCCTGTGAAGATTTATAGTCTTGGAAAGCCACAAGCGCAGTTCTACCCTGTTCTACAGGGTCACCGTAAGTTGAAATCAACTCAATGGCAGTGAGTTTGGGTTTTTTTAATCTGATGCAAACCGGCCCTCAGGTCCTCTGCGCCATGAGCTACTTACGTAGGTCTGTTCCATACTTGAGTCCCACCTTGGGCACCCAGCCCTTGCTTCGAAAGTAATGGTAGGCCATGTACGTGGTCCTAAATGAGGGCTGGACTGCAGTGAAAGTGCTCCAGAGCCTCATTATTGTTAGAGGCTCCTAAAAGGATTCGGGAGAAAGAAAAAAAAAGGTAATTGTAGCACCGTTCATCTGCGGGGAAACTGTGGTCTGCACACAACGAACGGCTATGCAGCCCTGAAGAGAGGCACAGTCCTGATACTGCTACCACACAGGAGGACCCTGCAAATGGTGTGCTTGGGGAAAGCAGCCAGACACAAAAGGACACATACCGTATGATCCCACTTACATGAAGCAGACAGCTAGTCACCAGAAC